TAGAATTAAGAATTGGAAAATTTATCCAACTCTAAAATCTATAGATGGAAACCTTCATGAATTTCAGGAAAAATCAAGAAATAAGGAAATCATAAAGAATATGGACGAGCTAATTCAACTAATCAAAGATGAACAAATCCAAACCGAAGAATCATCGTCCTCATCCTTTCCATATTATACAACTCCAGTTCAATCATTCGAAAGAACATACTCTATCGTTAAACAATAAACATTAGACGAAGGATTCTCCCATTCAAAGAACAACAAAGAAGATGAATGAGTTTCTTAAATAGTTGAACAAAGAAGAGGAAAAACATCAACCATGGGGAGAAACGTGAAAAAATCATCTTCCAACAAAGAGGATAAAATATGCTCAAAGGCACCCTACAAGGAAGATATATTTTCAAGATGGATAGAAAAGAAAAAGCATCCAACATACAAATGTACCTAGTGCAATAAAGTTGGACACTTAAAGTATTTTAGTTTTAAACTAAAAGGATCTAAAGGTAAAAACCTTAGATCTTCTGTAACTAATCCACCTGGGTCCAAGAAGATGATATTGGCACCAAAGGTGAAACCTTAAGTGTTTTGCAGGTTATGCTTTGCAACTTAAAATTTCTAAAAGACTATTTGAAGTAGTTGTACAAATTAGAAGTATAATCTAGAAGTATAAATGTTTTAATTATTTGATATTGAAGATAGACAGTGAGATAATCAGTCGAATGAATAAGCCTGTTATGGACTTATCCATTTTTATGATTTTACAGACTCTCGCATCCAACAATGTATGGAGAAGGACACAACATTGTGGTGTTTTTCCTAAGGGGTTTTCATCAAGAATTTTCTTGATAAAATAAGTAAAATTATTTAAGGTTGAAATAATCAGTTAAATCTGATCAAACCCTTAAATAGTTATTTATGCTTTAAATAAATCATGTTAAATTACTCATTTTCAAATTAATTATTTCTAACCCATAATAAATGAGTTTGTTCGAGTATTTTAAGTTTAGGGGGTACTAAAAGAATCAATTAGAAGTGTTAAGATAGCAACAAAGCCCAACAAAATAACCAAAGCACCAAGAAGGTTTAGAGGAGTAATTATAATCGATTAGCACAAGTTACTAACCGATTATAAATGTCTAAAACACATAATTTCAAATCGAAACCAATTTAGCTTGATGCGCCTAGAAGATTCAATCTTAACATTAATGGAGATCTCATCAATAACTGAAAGATTGAGAAATCTAATCGGTTAAAGCAAAATACAACCGATTAGAAGACCTAAATATGGAGAATTTGGATAAGATTTTTGGACAGCACAATCCTCATTCAATTCTTGCTCTGAATATAAGCCCAAGTCCATCATAAGACACACTATAAATATGTATTGTATTCGTACCTTTTCTTTCATCTGACACTTTCTTTTCTCTGCACACTAATAGGATTATTCTCAAAAAGTTCATCATGAATCCTAGAAGATTAAGCTTCAACTCCAACCCTCTCACCAATGAGTTTACAACCAAACAACCAAAAATTAGATTCTTCAAACACTTTGCCAACTGAACAGTCATGAGAATTCATACCTTAGATTCTGAAGATTTCAAGGAGTGTAACTTCTTCAAAACCCTATATAAACTCAAACTCACAAACTTCCTTTGCACACACTCAATTAGAATTTATACCACCCTAGTAAAGATGTTTTTCCCAAATCTAAGCCTTCCGATAGGAGAATTTGAGAAACTAATCGACCTCCCTCATGAAGACCATCTCACTAAGTTAGGAGACAAAGCCAATAGGTACAACTATGTCACAGGTGAATCCTCCTAAATGAAAAAGACTTTTTCACACATTTCTTACCCACTCACAGTTGGACAAATCCTTCAAGAAAATAGAATGACCCAGTATGTGATCTCTCACATTCTCCTTCCTAGACAAGGAAACCTTGATCACCTAACATAAATTGAGGTAAAAACCATTTGATCATTAGAAAATAGAATCAAAGTGACCTAGGAAAAATAAATAATCAAACATATGATAGAAAGTAGGAAAGAAGGAGCATCCCAACCATATGGAAACCTCATCACAAAAATCCTAGAAGAAAAAAGATACAACTTTGAAAATGAATAATTCAAGGAAAAGTCATCTCGAATAGGAAAATCCATTCTATTAACAATAAAGCTAACACATACAAACAAAAGAATAACTGAAAAACAATGAAGCAAAAGACATCAAAAGATACCCCTAGCAGAAAACTCTCTTCCTCAACATTCTACAATCCAAGATATAAATGAGTTCATAGATCAACACCTCATCCCAAACGAAAACCAACTACTCTTTGATGATATTTATAAAGAACAATCTCATTTAGGCTTATGTTAATTTCAGTTTCTCTCTGATACTTCATTTTCCTAATAATTAATATAAGTATGATGTTTTCCCTTCTAAATGTCTAGAGCACATTTTGTTGTTTTGTATATCCTTTAAATATGAAATCACCCTTGACTTACATAATTTGAATTATCCATTAATGATATAAATGATTTTTTCTTTTATCTAAAATGCCTATGTTATGCTTATGTATAAAATACAATAATATATTTTCAATATGATGTTTACATCTAATAAAACCTTGTTTTACACATCTTCCTCAAAAACATGCAAACAAAATATATGTTATTATCTCTTGACTATTTATAATTTTCCATTAAGTGTGATATCTTCTTTCGCTATAAATACCTATACTTGTTTACCTCATGAGTAAAAATACAATATAATATTTTGTTTCTTGCTCTAATATACAAATTTTCGCATATCTAACTTGTTTGCAATTACATCCTTTACCCGCCTTTTTGGTTTTGAAAAAGTGGGAGTAGTATACTCTCAGGGGGATGATATATATATTTTATCTAATTCAGGGGGAGTTTTGTCACTCCAAATATACTTTGTATCTTTTACCACCTCCCCTGAGAGATGGTTGTCATCATGAAAAAAAAGGAGAATTGTTTTGCAAGCAATAAACTTTTAATCAAGACATCATATTTTGATGATGACAAATATAAAGAAAAGAACAGAGAAATCCATCATGATAAAGATGCAACCAATGATAAATCAAACGATGCACTTAAGTAGTTAAAAATTCAAACCATGAATATAAAGGTTTGATTACTATTAGATGAAGCCAAACAAACTGGATTCTATTAAAAGCCTCAAGAGATCTCAAGCAAGTGTATACTTAAAAGATTACAATCTACAAAGGCTTAGAGAAAAATATTTTACATTAGTAAGTGAGTGAAACTATGTAAAAGCAAATAGAATTTTTCATAGAAGTACACAACCATAAGCACACACACTAAAACCTTTTTCTAAAATGATTTACCAAAGAATAAAACTTTGAAAATTATATAGAAGTTACATAAAATAAGATGGGAATAGCCAAAAAGCCATGGAAGAATTTTTGACTCTATTTAATTGGTTAGAGAAAATTGCTAACTGTAGCGGTGAAAATCGAAGATCAAGCTATTAATTAACTTGACTCACAAATAAGAAAGAGACGCCACCGCGCTTTATTATTTCCAAGGGAAAAGGGAAAAGAGCGAAATAAAACCCTTAAATATGCAATGTAAAGTAATACTTAAAAGTAATGAAAATACAATGCGTTTTTGAAAGAGATCTAAAGTTCGGGGATTGATTATGCAATGGGAAGGTATTAGCACCCAATGCATATGCGGTACTCCGCATGAACCTTTTGAATTATCTGTTTTTAGTTAAAATTGTTTGTTTGGTTAAAATGGGTATGGACAAGATTTTGAAAATACGATGACCTAATGTCGAAGTTTTGACTTAAAAGGTGTGAGTTTTAAAATTGAGTTTTTTAGGAAAATTAACTTAAGATTAACAAAACAGTAAAACAAAAATGAATGAAGGGATTCGCACAATCGTATAATATATGTTCGTTGACATGAAGTCAACAAATTTAAAACATTTCCCTTGGATTTTGTGTAAACAATTTAAATGATTAAATAAACAGAATAAAAGAAAGACAAAATTAAACTAACAGAACTTTTTATGGCATTTTATGAGGAGGAAGAAAGTAAAAATGTAAAATAAAGGTGTAACTAAAAGGTTATCTAAACTAAATTAAAATTTTAAGGTTACTAAATTAAAATTATTAAATTGAACCTAAACTAAATCGAAATTCTAAACTTGTCCAAATATTTCTAAACTAACTAAAAAATTTCAAATTTACTAAATTAAATCTAAAACAAATAAAAATTCTAAAATTATTAAACTAAATCTAAATAAAATAAAAATTCTAAAGTTATTAAATTCAATCAAATTAAAATTCTAAAGTTATTAAGTTAAATCTAAATCAAATTAAAATTCGAAAAGTCTAAAATTACTAAATTAAATATAAACCAAATAAAATTTAAACCAAATAAAATCTAAACCAAATAAAAAATATGGAATTCTACAATTACAAAATTAGATCTAAATCAAATGAAATTTTAAAGTTACTAATTAGGATTCTAAACTAACTAAACGTTTTAAAGTTATAAAATAAATCTAAACTTATTAAAGAATTCTAAATTAATACTAATTTAAAACTAAACTAAATTAATTATAAGATTTATCAATATATTTTTTTTGGGAAATAAGGTTAAAGAGCTAACACAAAAATGAAATAGAAATGTTTTAGTAAGGTGTAAAACTCAGGTCTCTTTGATTGCAGCTAATAGGCCTTGCCAACGGAACTGTGTTTGTCATCTGTTATGCCTATACTTTAATTAAGATAAAAGGAGATGATGATAATGTGATTTGGCCAGGCCCATTGGGCCGACTCGGTATCGGAAGGGACAAGGAAGGGTTTGAAACCCTAACAGACAAACAGGCACTGCTGGCTGTCTTGGTTGAGAAGGGAATGTTACAAAAAAATCAAAAAAAAAAAACACAGACACAAACATAAACACAATCACCAACACAAACCATCATATCTTCGTATAATGTTAATGATAACCAGTATAACAGAATTGCGAGTGCATGACGCTGCTCAGAACCGTTTGGCTACCCTCACAGCTCACTTGCTTCTGTCTTCTTCAACCACCGCCGAGGGACTCATCCAGCCTCTCCATCCTTCGGCGTCCTCCGGGATCTCTCCGCCGCCGAATGCTAAAGGGAGTCTCATGGTTATTGATGAATGAACCAGGAAGAAGTATAGTATTGAGGTGTCGCCTGATGGTGGTTGTGATACGGTGGGAGAACTGACTTAGGTTTTGCGTTTGTTTTTTCAAATGTTTCGGTTGAATAAGAGTCGCCACTGACTTTTTATTTTATCCTAAGGAAAGGTTAAAAAGCACAGGAAAAACCTTTTGAGATGTTTTCTTGGGTTCGGGGAGTAGATTATAGAAAGGGAAGGTATTAGCACCCTTTTTATCCATGGTTATCCATGGGCTCTTAGTTACTTGCTTAGATCAACTTGCCTTGATTTTTAATTGTTTGAAATGGTGCTTTGTGTGTGGGTTTGAAAAATGTTTTGAAAAGAGGCCAATGTGGTGGCAACCTTTGTAATGATCCATGTTGGGATGTATACAAAGGTGTATGTCTTTTGAAAAAGTTTTCAATGTTTTTGAAAGTTGTTTTGAAAGTTTAGTGATGTGTGGTTTTGAAAGAAATAGGCAAGTGTTTTTGTTTTGCAAGTTTGGCAAGTAACCAAGAGTTTGTCTACTCCTAATTTTACTCAAAGATTTTTGCTATGTTTTTAACCCTTTTAACAATTTTGTTCCACCATTGTATTTGGTGGACAATCTTGTGTTAGGATGTGAACGGGACGGGCGCGGGTCATCGTTTAGACCATGATTGCAATGGTGCCAAGTATCTTTGGGCAATTTTTCCTTTAAGGGACTTGATCATTTTTAGGCAACTTTTGAAAGCGTCATCGAGGGTCTATGATCATTTGATTGTTTTGTTTTTGCCAAAGATACCTAACATGCAATATGGCCCATTATTGAAGGCAACAAGTGGAGTACCCTAGGGGTGCAAGTTTGATTAGTGTTGTCCATTTTCATGCTTGTTTATCTTGAATTTAGGTCAAACTATTTGTTGTTTCTGATTTGCATACAAAACCCTAATTCTAACATGGCATATTAGAAAGCTTTTAAAATGCGGAAAATAAAGGGTCCTAAGTTATTACAACACAATATAGGGGATGGGGGGTACAAATGTTCAAATGGGGATATTTTAAGCAAGAAATAAAAACCTAAACTATTACATCCAAATTGAAATTTTACAAGGTATTTAATTGCACAATAATTAAATAAAATAAAATAAATATGCAAAAATGCAAAAATGGTTTTCATATGTATGTAAAAAAGGGTATTTTTCATGTATCAAATAAACTAAAATAAAATGAATTAATTTTGGTATTTTTAAGTATTTAGGGCAAAACCCTAATTTTGTTAAACAAAATGTATTAATTATTTAATATATGCAATACTTATTAATTATGTACCAAAAATAAATAAAAAGGAAGTATATTATCAAAAGGTGATTTTTTTAAGTTAAATATTAATAAAAATAAAAATGTATTATTTTTGTGTTTTTAACCTAAATATACTAATAAATATATAAGTATTTACATTATTTATTAAATATTCATTATATGTACAAAAATAAAATATTTAATATTTACAAAAAAAAGTATATTTTATGTAAAATGTTTTCAAAGATAAAATAAAATAAAAATCAGAAAATAAAAGTGTTTATATTATTTTTTGGTTATTTTAAATAAAAGTATATAAATGTTTATTTATGTACAAAACTAAATAAAGCCAAATAAATATAAAAAAAAATGCAAAAAATATGGGAAAAATAATTTTAATATTTTTTCATGTTTAAATAAAAATATAGAAACAAAATCAAAAGGAAAAAATTAAAAATGATAAATAAAACTCAAAATGGGCCAGGGGGGTGCATGTGTAAAATAGTGGTGTGAAAAGGAAAGACATTTCAGGCCCAACCCAAGGACTCTGTCTTCTTCAACCTCCAGCATCCTTGAACAAAACACGCGTTTCTGCTATCTCATGATTCTTGGACTTTTAGCACAAACTCACAACGTGAAAAATGTCAAGCTTCAAGCCACGATTCCATACATATAAAAAACTTAACTTAACTCTCAGAAATGAGAGAGAATTTCTCCATCCCTAATTCTTAACCTAAATTTTTGTCAATGTTTAGGTCTTAAATTCTCTCATCACATGCAATATAAATGGAAAGTGAAGATATGTATAGCTTCAGGGGCATGAGTAGAACATTTTTCATTCATAAACTTAAAGCTAACTCTTCCTATATTGAGAGATAGAAGTCCATGGACTTACCTGTTCAGCTTGGATCGTGTCTGGCAATGGAGGCACTTTCAAGGCAAGGTGAGGATTGGTACAACTTGCTTGAAGTTCATGGATGCTATTCCAACCTTTAGCTTGCTTTGAAACCAAGTGAATCGAGCTATGGCAATCAACCTGCAAAGCAGAAAAAGTGAAAATGGAAAATGGTGTTAGGGAGGTTACAGGTCGTGTCCAATGCTTGGGACAGCTTCAGTGGGTGATAGGGAATGTGTCTGCAAAGGTTTTAGCTAAAACGCACGAGGGGAAATGTTTATGGAAGCCAAGTTGCAGGGATGCCCTGTTTTTGTGCAGTACAAGGGTGTTTTGAGGTTTGATGAGGTTTGGAAGGTGTTTTGGTCGTGCCTTAACTCAATGATGTTGTTTGGGATGTGTCTAACAACTTTTATTTAGCTTGTGTTGGCAGAAAATGAAAGTTGGTGTGTGTTATGCCAAGTTTCTTCACACTTAAGCAACAAAATGGCAAGTTGGTTTCTAGACTTGTGCAGGCCCCTCCAATGTGCTGCAACCATCCCTCTTGATCAGTGTGACATGCTTCTGAACTTGTGCCAAAGAGATTTGCCTTGTACTTCTTGATTTGCAAACTTGACATAAAGTTCCACTTTTCAAAAATGGATATATTGCTTTTTCTAATTATGGCTCAATCTTGTATGCAATGTTTAAACACATGAGATAAGGCTTGAACACAAGGGGTTTGCATTAAACTATTGAGTGTGGATGAGATAAAAGGCCTGTAATCTAGCTTAGAGCATGCTGAGTTCAAACATCCAAAGTTATGGACATGTAAATTGGCCATGAACAAAGTGAGTTTTACCCATATTGCCAAATTTGATTCTCCCTAACCACAAGGTTGTTTGATGAGTTCTTGGACATTTTGGAAAGCTTGGAATGTGTACTACAATCCATATTTGTAATGCAATTTGAAATTCCAAGTGGAAGCATGTGAAAAGTGGCCATGAAATTAGGCAAAAATCCTGCCTAGAATAGGTCAAAATTTTTCTAAGTTAAGAATGTTTTGCACCCTTGTTCCAAAAATCATAACTTGAGCTACAAGCTTATTTTGAGGAAACTTTGTGAATCAAAGTTGTAGATTTTGGAATGGACTATAACTTTCATGTTTTGACTTTTGTTTTAATCCAAATGCATCTTGGTGAAAAAATGGGACAAAGTTAGTAAAAAATTAGGGATTTTCATAACTTAGAAAATTTCTAAGTTATGAAAATTCTTCATTTTAAACCCTAATTTGTAATTTTTGATTTCTTGATGAACAAGTTTCATGTTTTGACATGTTTTGATGGAAAATGAATCTTGACACTTGATTTTGACCAAAAAGTCAAAGTTTGACTTTTCAGTATACAGTCAAAAATTGATCAATTGACTGGAAAATTCATCTGTCAATCTTGTGCAATTGGGATCTTTTGAACTTGTTGAACATGTCAAGACAATTCCGTAGGGTCCTTGAGTCCATATGTGAGCTTGGTTTGCCATTGGCTAGGTCAAACAGTCAAAAATTGCCTGTGTGCAGTCAAAACCCTAAAAATGACCATTTTGCCCTTTTGGTGATCTGATCAAATTTCTTGTGGAATTGTGATCCAAACTTGACCAAATGGTTTATATGAGTTCAATATGTTGATGTGGGTCAAAAATCATGAGGTTTGACTGTCAATTGGCCACAGTTGACTTTTTCCCCAATACAGCTGATTTCTAGGTCAACTGTCCAATTGAATGGGCAAAGTTTGGAATCAAGACTTGAAACTTGGTATGGATAAACTTGGGAGTCCAATATGAAGCATGAAAGTCACTTTAGGCATTTTGGGTCAAAACATCTTTGTGCAAACACAAACCCTAATTTGGGTCAACAGTGCAAGGAGAAGTCTTGAGCAGAGGAAACCCTAACTGGATCTTGAGTCCCAAGGGTCTTGTGGTGAGAAAATGTTGAGGAAATGGGAGGGCAAATTTTGGGGTACAACAGTGGTGATTTGAAAGGTGAAGGAGTTAGTACTTTCATGGAGGGAGTATCCGGTTTGATGAGGTTTCCGGTGGATGGTGATGAAGATTGCTCACGGTAGAGGTTTACGGAGGGAATTTTAAGACGAAAAAGGGCAGAGAGGAGTGAGCTACCAGCGATTGATTGAGGATGATGAAGGGAACATTGTCGGTTAATTGGACTAGGTTATGAGCAGAATAGAAGCTTGTTGTTGGTAGCTATCAATTGAAAAGGTGATTGTATGGTGATGTAGTTGGAGGTTTTCGTATGGTGTTCTCGGTGAGAGAAGAGTGAATATGAAGATGGTGAAATGAAAGATGAATAGGAATGGTGGAAGAAATTGTTAGAGATGGAGGTGGGTGCTGGCCGGAATTAATATGGGGATGTGAGGAAGAGTGGGATACGATGGAAGATTGAGACTTATTCTGTGAGAGTCTGTTGTTGGCAGTCACAGTGGGTTGGAGTTCTAGTTTTACAAAGAGGATGAAGGTTAGCATTATGGAGTGAATCATAAAATCAACGACGGCTGTGAGTTTGCGAGAAGGGTAAAGGGCTAGTATAATGAATGGATTCAATCATAAAAATGGTGAGTCTCTCAATCTTTTCCCTCTGCTCTATTTCTCGCTATTCTCTTCTGCAAATTTCTATTGGTTTTTCTACCTTTCACACTGATGAGAAAAGTCATACTAACACCTTGTCTCAATTTTAAAGCAGAGATAACGACATCAACAAAAAAATAATTTAATCTCAAGGTTTATTTTCATTCCCACAATTTAATAACATCAATTGTTTTGAACCCTAATAGTTTCTAGGCTAACAACAGCAATAATCGGTAGAGCAAAAGAGCAAAAGAAGGAGAAAGAAAATTACCGAGTCGGAGCTCCTCCGACGGGTCTTCAATCTTCGAGGTCTGATGTTCTTTCCTTTACTTTGATTCAATCCTGTTCCTTTATCTACTATTTTTAAAGTTTAAGATGTTGTGATTTGCAGGAAATTTGGAATGCAATGTTGCAGAATTTTCGAAATGCAATGTTCAAAGTTTACAATTCTGTATTAAACAAATTTTTTGTCGTGGTAGGGTATGGTGAGGTTTTTGTGATATATTGTTGGTGTTTTTTTGCAGGAGGTTATATATTGATAATGTCCTCTTTTTTTCCTTTTGCTTATGTTTTTATAGTGAATGTATGATAGAATCAGAGGGAAAATTTATGTGTTGTAGCATGGATGGAAATTGGGCATATTTTACACAGTTTTGGGACTGTTTTAATGAGAATTTTAGCCTGTTTTGTGACAGTTTTTGGCAGCATTGCAACAGGGTTTTGGACTATTGGAGCAGGGTTGTTTTTTGGCAGTAGCAATGGACAACAACAAGGCTTAACAAGGCATGCAAAATTCTGCATGAAGCACACAAGGAGGATGGTCTTGGTTAGTGTTATTTTGGCATGTTTTTATGTAACAATAAAGTTGTAATAGTGATGATAACTTGGATGGTTCTTGTAGTTTTGTAATCATTTAAAGGTCAATCTTGAAATATCAAGAGAAAACTCCTAATATTTAGAATTGATTCCAATTAAAATTTGTATCGAAAGTTGTCCTTGAATTCAAAACACATAAATGATGAATGAAGTTGAATTTTGAGAAAGGTCTTGAATAATGCTTCTTTGTGACTCAGATGAAATTGAATCAAACTTGAATGGTGAACATTGAATTAGAACTTCATCCTTGAGTAAATTTGAGACTTCTTGAATGAATTTTGAATGATGAGTGAACATCTTGTATTTTCTTCCTGAATTCCAAACAAATTACATGAATTGATCTTCAAAATTGAGCAAACTTGCATCATGAGAAATTAGTTATTTTGTATATCTTGAATCCAAAAGCAAATTCATATGGATGAATTGTGCCTCGCACACTTGAATCAATTAAAAATAAAAAAGAATTATTCAAATTGATCCTCAAATCTTCTTCTTTAAAACCCATATCGTCAATTCGTGGTAACCTGTAATACGAGCCAATAATACAAATCATGCCTTTAAGAGATTTAATTAACAACCCACCTTAATCCAATGATCTTTAATGTTCAATTGCAAATGACTTGAAGCAGGCGACAAGCAATCAATGAATCATTGAACTAGAACTCTAGTTTCATGAATTATCCAAATATAAGAATCAAACGTCCCTTGAGAAGACGTCTGTGGCATGAATTGAACCTTGATCTTAGAAGTAATCTCATAGACAACACTATTTGTGATACTTCACAAAAAGAATCGTCTCAGGACATCGATAATTGAAGAAGTTATGACCCACAAAAGTTGGACAAGAGCTTTTTGTGATTAGCTCGAATTTGCAAAATGACCTCTAAAGTATTCAATTTTTCACTGATCCTCTGCACACAATAAACTCTTGACTTGTAAAGAGAAGTGGGAGATGACGTCAAGGAGAGTCATATGCAAAAAGAACAACTCAAAAGTACGTAATAATAAAGAAGTTATGATCGTTTGAACTTGATCTTGCAAAAAGTTAACTTTTGGTCGAAGTGTTTTAAATTGTCTCACATAGCCTGATTTTTTCTTGCATTCCAAGACGCACTGAAGAACATGTGAATCAGTGATGATGGAATCTTGTCTGTCGTCTAAGGAAGTTGTGGAGAAGCTTGAGACCACTTGTCGAACAAGGCGTGGGAATAAACACACGATCCTATGAAGTTCCATAAGACATCTTTGATCAAAATAAGATTGAACAATGATTGAGACTCTATGCTCTGAGATTAGAGGTTGTTCCTTGATGAATCAATCTTCAAGAATCCATAATCAATCTTTCTTCTAGCTTGGGAGACTAAAAACCTAATTGAGGCGCGACGCCTGATGCTCTTGACTCAGACCTGTCTCTTTTCATGAACAAAAGAAAACATGAACATACACCTTTGTATGCGATTAGAAGTTAGTGATACACAGGCTAAAAAATGTTCAAAACACTTGACAATCTCTGCGTAGACAATACTCAAAGGTGAGAGGTTAAAATGGACCGTATTTCGTGGCCTTGATTTTATATGAAAAATGCAAATGAGGATGGGATCTTAGATCAAAAATTGGGGTATGACACTAACCGATTAGATTCACACGAACTTAAGGCGTAACGCAAGTTGAATGCATCGGTTAGAGTAAATTACTAGCCGATTAGATTCACACAAACTTAAGGCGCAAGGCAAGTTGAATGCACCCAAATTCTATATAACGACTATATATCTTATTTTTCCATATTGGAAACTTATATACGGATAATTTTTAAAAATTAACCGATTAGAAAAAGGTCCAACCGATTAGATAATAACTTTATTGCTTAAATGCTATTTCCTCTATTGGGGAACCTTAATCCTATAAATAAAGGCTTCTTTTCTCATTTCAAATCATCCAGAACACGAATTTGTGTATTAACACTTACTTTCTCTCTTAGTTTTATTTTAACTTTCTCTCACTAGTTCTTTTAGCCAAATGCTTTTGTGAAGAAAGTACCATTTGTAAGTGTGGTCACCATTGTAATTCTGGAAGGGAGGAATTGTATAAATTCACCAAGGTAATCATGTTTAGAAACCTTGGTTAAATATTTCCCAAATAGGAATTATTTATTGGTTCTTTGTTAGCCTGGCTAAAACAAAGATAGGTTGAAGATTCACCTTATCCCAAAATCTTCATTGGTTTAAGATTAGCCTGGCTAAAATCTCAAAGGTTATTTGGTTATCCTGTTAAATAAAAAGGGAGCTCAAATATTTTTGGAGCTTGAAGACTACACGCTACAAGGTATGTGTTCGTGGAGAGAAGAATAACCACTTTAATCTATAGTTAAGAAGGAAGCTTGGCCACTTCACTCTAAATAAATTATTAGAGAAAAGAAACAAACACTCATATGATTCGTCTCGTCAAACTTGGTTGAAGGTAAACCATTATTTCCTTGTATAATGGGGTTTGTGAGTCTTTCATACTAAAAGCTCTCAAGTATTATTGAAAACTCTCAAGACCCAGTCTTGGGGAGAGGAGTAAGTCATTTTTTATTTTTACCAAACCTCTATAATTCTGTGTTCCTGTTCTTCCCTTTATCTTTTTATTTTCTGCATTTAAATTCAGTACTTTACTTTCCACTGCTCAAAATATTTTAAAAATGTTTTTGAACTCTGATTATACCATGCAAAAGTTTTCAAAACCAAGTTTTTCCAAACTACACAATTCGCCCCCTCTTGTGTATGAAGTCTCAAGTCCAAAAAGTGGATGTTCCAGGCACATGATTGGAGAAAAGACATACCTTGAGTAATATAAAGATTACTCTTATGGTTATGTCACTCTTGGTGATTGTGTAAAGGTAAGAATAAAAGGCATATGAAAAATGGCTAGTCCTAGTCTTCCTTGTCTTAAGGATTGAATGTAAAATTCAGTAAATCACAATGTATTATCACCAATAAGGATAGAGAAGTTCTCATTAATGACTAATCTATTATGAATAATTACATGTTAACTATTTATGGGATCATTATGTGTCAATTTACTAATGTGTAGCAACTGCCATGCTGCTAATCTGTGTTTCTTTTATTGTTGATGGATGCTCTTATGGTTGTACTTGTACTGCTGTTGATATGTGTTATGAGTATTGGATTTCTTGGTACTCAATTATTTTCTGCTTGAAAGTTATTTTGACAAAATATTCTAAAGGGGGGGGGGGAGATTTATAGTCCTTTTGGATTGGTTGCATTATCCAAAACCTCATGGATTTTGTTCAAGATGCTTATGGTGTAGAAGGGACACATGTGGAATATAATGTTCTAACACGTGTGTTATAACATTTGGTCTCTGACAACAAACAAATGGTGTTGCAGTATTGGTTCCGATTTATTATATTCAAGATTTACCCTACAAGAAGATCTACAATTCATGTAGAGAAGTTAATTTGGATGTACTGGTGTAACATGTGGAACACGAAGTTCCAACATATGTGCAATGAAAAATTTGGATCTGGAGATCAGGACATGAATGATGTTGCTTGGTGTAAAATTTTGGATTGAGATTTAATCAGAGTTGATGCAGTTTGTTTAGCAATGTTTGTGTGATTTGTTTGATAATTATGAAGATCAAAATAAGTTTTAGATGGAAATTTAAATTTCACTTTGAAATATAACAAATCATATATTTTGTTGGAGAGTTTTATGGAGCAAATCAAATCCAATAGATCCATCTATTATTTTGGAAAAATATTCACGGAGGAAAATCCCAGAATACATTGCTATATATGGAGACTCAATTCTCGTGTTGAAGCATGAGTTTTGTGCACAAGATTAAGTTCTTAGTTCCTAGGGTTTTTGAGTCTTTTGTTTCTTGTATTCTATGCTAATTCCATCGTAAGGATTAGTGTTGAATCTAACTATTGTACACTACTTTATGTTTCAGTAACTTGGCATATTTATTGGTTTGTCTTAGTTAAGTTGTAAATTCAACGATCAATAGAATTGTTATTGAAGTTGACCACTAAGGGATAATGAGTGAGAGAGGTTCTCATATTTACGGGGGTGGTCCTAAATAGAAAGTCACTAGGATTAGGGAGAGGCATTAAACATAATAATTTTCCTATAAGACTAATTGTACTAATTATAAGTAGTTATTTTCCTTTTTTTGGTAGAGTGCCCTCCAGATGTAGGCGTGGTTTCACCAAACTAGGTTACCAATCTCTTTGTTATTTTATTGCTTTCTGCATTATGTTATTGTTATTGTCATTCCACTGTTATACTGGTTTAACAAGTTGACCATTTGTTCCAACATCGTGTCCAACATCTGTCCCCTTAGGAACATAGTTTCATTGATAGTCTAATGTCCAAATCAACATAGATTTTAACACATTGAGCTCACAAACTAAATAAATTTTTTTACCGACCGGTCTTAAGAACAAAACATAGATTTTCATCGATTAATATCAAGAACCAAACAATAATTTACTTTAATAATATTACAAAAGCGATAAAACACCTATGCTAAATTACAATGATCACACAACACCAGAACAACTCTCACAAATATATTTCACTCTCAAATCACTAAGGCAATTTAGGTGACAAAAGATAAGATGAAGTAGAAGAGAGTAGAAACGAGAAATAATAGTTATAAATTAATTTTCCGGTGGTCCAAATAAATGAGGAGAAACCCTCTTTTTATAGGAGAAAAATTGGCTTAGAAAAAAAAAACATCCATGGATTTTTTAATGACTTAACCAATTAACCCACGAGTCTAATTGATTTAGAGCTTCAAAAAGGTGACAATCCTAATCTAAAAACTAAACACTATAAAGGTTAAATGAATTAATAATATTTGTAATTGATTAAAGAGTATTTTACCATGCTCC